TTTCTAACAGAATCTAACATAATATATGATAATCTTCTACTCGTAATTTTTAAATTAAAATTTAAAATAGAATAGATTTAAATTTAGAGTTAATTATTCATTGAACAATTTTCTTAATATTAATGTAAAGTTTTAATAAGCAAATGATTTATTATTTTAGATATATAAAAAATGCATGTCGGTATAATAATGTGAAAATTGATTTGAGTAAATGTGAATTAAACGTGCGACAACAATCTGATAGGCAACATAAATCGCGTACTTTAATAGATATTCTTCGTAACAGTGTAGCACTTTTTCATTTGTGCGTACAGTGCTATGTAATGTACGTTTCTTTCTTCATTGTAAATTTATAAACAATAATTATCATAAAATTAAATTAATAAAGGAAAATGATCGACTTCTTTCTTTTATTGGTGAATTTTAAAAGCTCAGATTTTTAATTTTAGAATTTCAATGAATATAACTTATTGGGCTATGGCATTATTAAGTACAACATTAAGTGAAGATGGTTTTACTGGTTATTTCTTATCTGGTTTCATTGAAATACCTGGTGCTTTGTTAGGTGTAATGTTATTATTTAAGTTTGGAAGACGTACCGTTACAGTATGGTCATTCACAGTGCAATGTATATTATTTCTCTTGACTATATTTTTTTCAGGTAATCATTCTGCAGTATATTTTTTTTCCACCATTATATACTTTTAAGATAATCATTTTGTAACAATAACATTTGCTTAATATATGCTAGCGAAATATTTTGCAGGTACTGGAACAATACAAACAGCACTAGCCGTAATAGCTAAATTTTTCAACACTTTTATTTGGGTCGCACAACCATTAATGCTTGCTGAAATGAGTCCGACAACAGTACGCAATATATTCTGTGGAACGGTATCATTCTTTGGTGTCATTGGTGCTGTTATTGCACCTTACTTACCTTTACTTGTAAGTTTTATTTATCAGAAAAGTTATCTTTCATTGCGAAGAAATTTTATTTATAAAAAGTCAAAAAAAAAATAAACAACACAAGATCAGAAAAAATAGCAAAATCAGAAGAAAAAAGAAAATAGTTATCATTAATTAAATTATTTTGCTCCAAAATTTTCAAAATTAAAGTCCGATTGTAAAAAGGATTATGATTAAAAATAAGAATAAAACCAGAATTAAGAGGGCATAATAAAGCTGTAAAAAAAGTTACTACATTTCTTCTTTCTTCTTCACTAATCGAATTTTAAATTATTAATTTTTATCTGATTAATTAAATTATTAATCAGATAAAAATTTTCAATTTCATTAATTTCTTTAATATAGCTAATAAAGATTGAATGAATCAGTTAGGTAAATTTTTCAACTGTGAAAACGATGATGACTTGTTTTTTTTACATTGTAGTTTTTGTTTTTCTCTTTTCAATCATCATATTTTCTCCATCGTTCTCATTTACTGCTTTCGCGGGATCAAAATTCCCCGATTGTTTTTCCCGCTATTTCACACATTGTTTTTCACTGTTAAATTTTCTGTTTTATTTATTCTTACAGAAATAACTTCCTTTTCCACTAGGAATTAATGAGCTTCCTCATTAGATTGATGACGACGGTTTCATTTCTACTTTCTGAACAGGAATACAAATACTGTCACATACAGCGAATAGCGCTTTAAATCAAACGTTTTTCTATTCCTCTGTTGTACTTTTTATAGCTATGAGGAATTCATCAATAACAATTATTATTATTATATGAAAATAACACTCCTATCATAATTGCAGAAAACTATCAGTCCAGAAGCGCCAAAAGTGACAGTATCGATAGTTTCTCTGGCAGCAGCAATAGTTCTACTGACAGCACCTGAGACAAAGGATCTTCCGATGCCAGAAGATGTAAATGACTTCGATCCAGGACGCTTCCTACAACTGTTCGGATATCAGAAACAAAGAAAGCAAAGTGTTTTTATGGCAGCTGAGAATGCAGCAAGTAATCACTTCTACATCTCTTCCCTTTCATTCGAAAATTTTAATTTGTAATTTAACGAAGTTGAACTATATTTGGAGATGTTAAAATCGGATAAGCGTTCATGAGTTTGTGCCGAGATTATTGTTGCTAATATATTACTTGGAAGTAGTGCGATCAGTATTGCAACAATCAGAAAGGTTATCCTTACTGCGAATCGGAAACATCGCAAAGCTAGTCTGTAATCCTTATTTCATCTCCAAGAAAATACCTCGTAATTTTAGTCTTCGAAGAATGGACAACGGTTTGTTTATCATTACTAGCCTTCCTCGTCTTGAAAGTGATAATCCAAGATGTTTATTGTTTTTTCTCTTAAAATTAAACAAAGCCAAATTTTATTATAATTAAAAATAATTGCACTATTGATTTTTTTAATAAAGGATAAAATGGGTTTTTTTTTCTTTTTTTTGAACTCGATTAATATATTATCTTTTCACAGGT